CTCTCTTGAGTTCTCTGGAATTTCCAATATCACTTCAACAATTTTCACACACAATTTTATAGGATTCATTCACAAATCGAGTCGCACTACCGAGTCGCAACACTCTGAATTTCTTATTGGTAACTCAACCCCTTGAAATGAACCTTGCCGTGAAATTCAGAGATTGATTGCGATGCGGGATTGGTCAGCGAGTTGATCACGGGGCTGTAACTTCGTCGGTGTGTTTGGCGAAGTCGGCGAGGGGTCGGAACTTCGGTGTTCTGCGTTTCGTAATTTTCGCGAGTGGGTTTGACTTGGGCTGCACGTCAGGACCTGGTCACCCAGCTGCAGGTTGAGGCGCTTGACCAATCCGGACTGTTGGTGTGGTGGCGCTTGACTTCCGCCCACTTGCACTGTATTTGGCTGCGTGCTGCTGCACTGTTACAGTTGACCTCCGCCCATTTGTATTGTAGTTGGCAGCACTCGACTGCTGCATTGTTACATAGCGCTTCTCCCAACGCATCTCCTCTCCACGCATCTCCCGCCAAACGAGAACGGGGAAAACGAAGGTTGATTTGAAAGTTTATCTTGAGTCGGAAGGGATAGGGGAGGCGAAGCCGCAAGGTTTCCTCGCGCTCGTCCTGACCTGACTCGACGAAGCGAAGCGAAACTAGCGTGGACTTGTCAATAAGGATTTCGCGAAGTTTCGGTGACCGCTTCCGCACTGAACAGCTCGTCACAAGTTGACTCCCATCGTCATCGCTAGTCTGGAAGCTCCTTAGAGCTGTTCGGTCATAATGTTGGACGAATCGCCGTCGTCCCGACTCGGGACATGAAATCATTCACGGTCTCAGCAGCAGGACATGTCACCCAAGCAACACATGCACAAGCAGTCCACTCACGCTGCATGTGTCCAAGAGGGCGGCGGAAGGTGTCTGCCCTTCCGGGTGCTGACACGTGTACTGAGTCGTCGAATTCCTCTCTGTCCAGAAGCTCGCCTTGGTGCGAAAGCAAGAACTTCTCCCAACGCATCTCCTGCCAAACAAACACGGGAGAATTGAATTTTGAACTTCGAAATGGGGGTTGGGGTGGATGTGCCAGGAAGTGCAAATAATTGCGCCACACATTCGTTTTCGAATTTTCCTCAATCCTGTGGAGTACCCTCGCACCACGTTCCCCCCTTTCAGATATCTCTTAATCCCGTGGAATTCCACTTGTTTCTACACCGGCCATCATCATCTGGTCACTCCGCGTACGTGTTTTTTACCACAGTAGAGTCCCTGAGATTCCACGCTTTAGGGTGATGCGCATCAGACGCGATCCAGATTCAATGATTGCAAATGTTTCATATGATTTGTCATTTTGCGTAGTTGCAGGCAGTCATGATGCACAGTTGCGTGAGAGCAGTGGATTTGTTTCCATATCTCGTTTCTCGCTCGCTACATCGTTCCTCATCACCACCTGCCTAGGCGGTGACCACATCCTTGAGGGCGCGGTACATCGAAGTTTCCGGGTGCCATTTCTAGGCCTGGGCGACGTCAATTACCACATCGCGCCCCACTGTAGGTCAATTGTTGTCAGAATGTATTTGCTGTCTAGCTTGCACTGGGGTACTCTGTAGTGAGTACAACCCAATTCAGGGTTTTGTATTTGTATCCCAACTCTTGCTAGTGAATTCATTCCTCTCGACATTCTCCTTTCCAATTCTCTCGACACTCAACTCTCTCGACACTCACTAGCCATGGCTCCTAAGTCACGCTAGGATTCTAACATGGTATTAAGAGCAATAGTTCCTAGGACCTCACATTAATGGGCCCACCACCTAATGCCCTGCTAGCCTAGGCCCCGGCCCGTCGCCCCTTGGCGTTGCCCCTAGGCTCGGCCCCTTGGCCCCGTCGCCCCTAGCTGTGCCCCTCGGCCCCGCTGGCCCCGTCGACTTCGTCGCCCCGCGCCCGGCCCGTACTTAGCCCGCGATCGGCCCGTACCTAGCCCGCGCTCGGCCCCGTTCCTAGCCCCGCGCCCGGCCCGTACCTCGCCCACGCCTGGCCCCGTACCTAGCCCGCGATCGGCCCGTACCTAGCCTCGCGCCCGGCCTCAGTTCCGCGCCCAACGCCCAGCCCCGTACCTAGCCCGCGCCCGGCCCGTACCTCGCCCGCGCCTGGCTCCGTACCTAGCCCGCGCCCGGCCCGTACTTAGCCCGCGACCGGCCTGTACCTAGCCCGTCGCCCGGCCCCGTCCCTTGCCCAGCGCCCGGCCCCGTACCTGCCCAGCGCCCGGCCCCGTACCTGCCCAGCGCCCGGCCCCGTACCTGCCCAGCGCCCGGCCCCGTACCTGCCCAGCGCCCGGCCCCGTACCTGCCCAGCGCCCGGCCCCGTACCTGCCCAGCGCCCGGCCCCGTACCTGCCCAGCGCCCGGCCCAGTACCTGCCCAGCACCCGGCCCCGTCCCTGTCCAGCGCCCGGCCCTGTACCTGCCCAGCGCCCGGCCCCGTACCTGCCCAGCGCCCGGCCCCGTACCTGCCCAGCGCCCGGCCCCGTACCTGCCCAGCGCCCGGCCCCGTACCTGCCCAGCGCCCGGCCCCGTCCCTGCCCAGCGCCCGGCCCCGTACCTGCCCAGCGCCCGGCCCCGTACCTGCCCAGCGCCCGGCCCTGTACCTAGCCCGCGCCCGGCCCAGTTCCTAACCCGCGCCCGGCCCTGTACCTAGCCCACGCCCGGCCCAGTACCTAGCCCGCGCCCGGCCCTGTACCTAGCCTCGCGCCCGGCCCCGTTCCGCGCCCAACGCCCGGCCCCGTACCTGCCCAGCTCCCGGCCCCGTCCCTAGCCCAGCGCCCGGCCCCGTACCTAGCCGCGCCCCTCGGCCCAACTGGCCTCGTCGCCCCTATCTATGGCCCCTCGCGACCTGCAGCCCCTAATCGCGGCCCCGTTGCCTCTAGCCTCGGCCCCTCGCAACCCGTCGCCCCTAGCCGCGGCCCCGGTGCCCGCGTGCCCTGCAGTCGCACGCGCAGCTCCGCCCCCGCCCCCCTCCCCCCCCTCCATGGGGACGGCGGGGAGAGGGTGTGAGGGGGTGGCGGATGTGCCTCAGCAGCAGCAGCTGCCGCCACGCCTCCTCCTATCTCTCTCTCCCTGCCGCACCTGGTGTTGGGAGAAGGGGGGGAGCTTGGAGGTTTAGGGGGAGGCAGGAGGGGATCTGCAGCACCGACCCCCCCCCCCCCTCCCCCCCCCCCTCTCCCCCCCCCCCCCTCATCCTTCTCCTACCTCCCCCCCTGCTGCGGGTGCAGCAGTGGGGGGAAGGGATCTGCCATCCCCCTGCTGCGGATGCGGCAGTGGGGGGAGGGGACCTGCAGTACCAGCCCCCCTCCGCCCCCCCCCCCTTCTTCTCCATCTCTCTGCTGCGGGTGCAGCAGTGGGGGGGGAGGGTATGGGGGTGGCGGGTGTGGCGCGTCCTGCTGTCACCCGAGCGGCTCCTGCACCGCCCCCCCCCCCCCCCCCCTGCCCCCCCCTCCCCTCCCTTCTCCTAGCTCCCCCTGCTGCAGGTGCAGCAGTGGGGTGGAGGGGATCTGCAGCACCAGCCCCCCCCCCCCCCGCCACCCCCCCCCCCCCCCTCCCCCCCTTCTCCTCCATCCCCTGCTGCATGTGCAGCTGTGGGGGAGGGTATGGGGGTGGCGGGTGTGTGAACCGCCCCCTGCTCCTCCTCCTCCTCCGTCTCCCACTGCTGCAGCTGCCGCTGAGGGGGGTGGGTGTGTGGGAGCCGAGGGAGTGGTGCTAGGGGGGTGACGTGGGAGTGGAGCTAGGGGTGCAGCAAGGGGTGTGTGAAAGGGGGGTGGGACAGTTGGGGGAGGCTGAGCGGAGGCTGCCGTCTTGTCGTCCGCAGCACCTGTAGTCCGGGGCTCTGCTTCTGGTAGCTCAGAGAGCCTGCTGCGCCTGTCGCCCGTGGGTCCGTTGCTCCTGCCGCTCAGAGTTAGCCGCAGAGCCAGTTACTCCTGTAGTCCGGGGCCCTTGCTCCGGTAGCCACCGTGCGCGCCGCTCCTGTTGCCCGTGTGTCTGCAGCATCAGCCGTCGCCTCCTATCTCCTCTCCTCTCACAGTCCAGCCTCCTCCTCCTCACTTGCCCTTTGTGAATGCCTCTAGCTTTGCTTGTACTGGTGAACCTGCTCTATGACTGCTTGCTCTGCTGATTATACCCCACTTTGACTATGGGGGTGTGTCAGAATGTATTTGCTGTCTAGCTTGCAGTGGGGTACTCTGTAGTGAGTACAACCCAATTTAGGGTTTTGTATTTGTATCCCAACTCTTGCTAGTGAATTCATTCCTCTCGACATTCTCCTTTCCAATTCTCTCGACACTCAACTCTCTCGACACTCACTAGCCATGGCTCCTAAGTCACGCTAGGATTCTAACAATTGTACCATTTCAAACCAGTCTATATTTGCGGGTTTCGTTCGTAAGGTTGTTACTAGCTCGGTTGTACCACGCCCTCACGCATGCATTCACACTGAAACGCTCCACCCGTCTAACACTTCACATAGACTTCCAGATCTAGTGTTCGAGGTTCACAACTAGTTATGCTACTGCTACTACTATATGGGAACGGTTTAGGCATCATGGCGGGAGCTAGGCATCATGACGTCTAATCCCGGACTGAAAGCCCTCCGCAAACTGCATTATGTCCTAGATTTCGATCCCCGTCTAGAAACGCCCAACGATCGGGCACCACTCGAGAAAGGCGGGCTTTACTCATCGCAAGATAGTTTCGAGGCTTTGCAGGAGTATGCACTCCAGCACCACTTCGGTTATCATGTGCTGGCGACAAAGAAGCGATATGTGGTGGTCGGGCGTAAGGTCGTTGCTGATAAATTGCCGGACGTGGAATGTTTCTGGAACTGCGCATATTCGGAGGATCGTGGCACTGGATACTGGCGCATTACGACCCTCGCCCCACCGGAGACCCATAACTGCCCGGCACCGGCGCGGTACGAGTACGCCTTAGCAATCGCTAACAAGCTACCAGTCTTACTGCGAGCGTATGGCAACATGGTGCGCGCCCATTAATGGCCGGAGTGAAGGGGGCTTAAGGTCTGCTGCAACAAGAACGCGGTTCGGGTTGGAGAGTGGACAGGGTGTCGGTGGTAGTAGCAGCGCACATGGTGGCGGTGATGGAGGCCCCATTGCAAGGGTTGGGATGCCATATTCTAGCGGACAGCGCCATGGGGAGAACGAGCTGGGAGGCACTGGCATCGGCGGTTTGGCTCCCGGCGGCGTTGGGTTGGGAACGCAGGAGAGTACGGCTGGAGTCGTAGGGGTGGGCATGGGAATGGGAGCCGGAGTCGGTTTAGGGGGGTTCGGCATGGGATCTGGACCAGGAGGTGCCAGCTTAGGGCGGGGATCTCTTGCTGGATTCGCTGGGGTTGGTAATGGGACGCGAATGTAGGGCGCAGACACCGGACAGGGGGCTGGTGAAATGTTTGGAGGGTTAGGGGCACGACATGAGTATGGAGTGGGAGGGGGAGGGGGTGGAACAGGGATGAGACGTGCGGGCTGTGGGACGGGATCTGCAGGAGTTATGGGAGGTGTTGGCATGTGTGTGGGGACTGCAGCAGGAATGGGGGGCTTTGGCCTGGGTATGGGTGCTCTAGCGGGATCTGGTGGGCTGGGCATGGGTGTGGGTGTTGGCCGTGGGTTGGGATCTGGAGCAGGAGTTGGAGGGGTGGGCATGGGAGCGGGGACTGCAGAAGGCATGGGTGGCTTTGGCCAGAGTATGGGATCCGGAGCCGCATTCGGAGGACTGGGCATGGGTGTGGGCATGGGGTCATGGTTCACTACAGGCATATGGAGTGGCTTTCGTTATGGCAGCGTGGGCATGGGTCTTGGAAGCGGGGGACGCGACCGCGATGAGTGTGTAGGTGCCAGGGTGGGTGTCGGTGCTGGGAGTACGGGACCTGCTAGATGGTTTGCCGGAGAAGGTGGTGGTGGTGGATCACCGATTGGGGGTGTGGGCGCGGATGGACGAATCCCCGTCGCACCAGGTGCCACACGAATGGGTGGACCGTTCAACATGGGTGCAATTTACAAGAGAGCACGTGAGGGTTACCGTGCAAACACTATCATTAACGAAGTCTCTGCGCAACCGCAGACCACGGAGCAGCTAGGTTGGCGCCATTCGGCACTGGATGTCGATGATAACTTGCATGTCGGCCTCACAGAGAGCATGGCTCTCCCATGGCCGGATACCGGGGCGCATGGCGCTGCCCTTCATGCTGGAGAGGACGAACCGGGATACGAGGATGAGGAGGACGTGCCCAGAGAAGGAGTTCCAGGAGCGGGTGACGGCGAGGACGAGGAGGAAGGGGGCATTCATGTGCAGACTGGGTTCCATCGCAACAGACAGGGATCACGATACAGAATAGGCGGCATTCAGTTATTGCACCGGGCCAGGCTTTTTGCCACAACCCGCAGCTTTGGGATTTACACGAGCAACGCCACGGAGTCGCTCAACGGAGCTGTCAAAAAAATTAGGATGCTGCCCCCTACTTGGCTGCTGGCATCTTTGTGGGACTGGTTTAGGGATAAGTGGTATGAGTGTCGCGCTGAAGCTTGGCAAGGAGACGATCATCTAACTGCAGCAGCAGCAAAGCGAATGGCGATCAAGCTCAGACGTTGTCAGGAGTACTTCTTCCTGGGAGGAACTGATGATGCTGGGACGATCCAGACTCGTAAAGGCGAGAACGATGTGGAATGGAGGAGCTACAACGTCAACCTGGTTACTCGTTCATGTGAGTGTGGGAACTGGTAGGAGTACAAGTTTCCTTGTGCACATGCTGTGGCGCTGTGTGTCAAGAAGAAGAGATGCCCTGAGATTCTGGTATCTCACTACTACACCACGAGCAATCAGCGCAAGATGTATGCCCCGGACGTTTGGGGAACATGCGTGGACAGGCTGGTACGTGAGGCCCCTCCTGCACCAGCAAGTGTGTGTGACGCACCACACCTGATTGAAACAAGGGTTGGTCGCCCAGAGAACAACGAGCGTATGGAGGCTAGAGGCCAGGGTTACAAGTGCGGGAGGTGCGAGCTATACGGTCACAACAGGAGCACATGCAAGTATAAGTTTGGGGGTTATGGGTTTGGACAGTGTTTTGGAATAGGTGCAGGTCGTGGTGCGGGTAGAGGTGCCGGGCGTGGTGCGGGGCATGGAGCTGGAACTGGTCCAGGGCATGGAGCTGGGAGTGCTGCTGTGAGCGGAGCGGAGACAGTTGCTGGGACAGGGGATGGGCTCGGTGCTGGAAGAGGTGCTGGGAGTGTGGCTGGTCGTGGCGACATGAGAGGAGCTGGGCGTGGTGTTGGGAGAGGAGCTCGGGGTGGTGCTGGGAGAGGTGGTAGGCGAGGTGCCGGGAGAGGTGCAGGGAGAGGTGCTGGGAGAGGTGCTGAGAGAGGTGTTGAGAGAGGTGCTGCTGTGAGTGGTGCTGGGAGTGGTGCTGTTGAGACTGGTGTCGGGCGTGGTGCTGCTGGACATGGTACTGGGAGTGGCCCTGCTGGGCATGGTGCTGGGCGTGGTGCTGCTGGGCAATGTGCTGGGAGTGGTGCTGGGAGTGGTGCTGGGAGTGGTGCTGGGAGTGGTGCTGGGAATGGTGCTGGGAGTGGTGCTGGGAGTGGTGCTGCTGGGAGTGGTTAGCGGTGTTTGGAGCTGGGAGTGGTGCTGCTGGGGGTGGTGCTTGTCATGGATCTGGGAGTTGTGCGGGATTGGGTAAGACGTGTTGTTCCTGCTGTCTAGGACCTTGTGAACCGTTCTTTATTTTAAATTATAGGGATTATTGCACACATTACTGCATGTTGTTTGTGAGCAATCCTACCTTCATAAAACATGCATGTGGATGCAGCAAAGTGATGTGAGTGTGATAGTGATAGGGTGATGGGACTGTCTGAGTTACACACTATGATTGTAAAACTCTGGTGCCAGTTAACACCCGTCATATCCCACGTTTAGGGTCCGTGAGGTGCCCGTCTAGATTCCAGTGCAAACTGATAAAAACCCGCGAAACCCCCGTAACGGTCCGCGAATTCCCCGTTTGTTTCCCTGGATGAACAGTTAAACCACCAGTCAAACCCCCGTCACGGCTACGTTCGGCGACAGTGTGCATTCCCGAGCGGGCCCCGTAACCTCCCGTCAAATCCCCGTCAAAGGGCAGTGGTGCGCCTCACCCTGTCCACGAGTAGCCCGGGTAACCACCCGTGAATCTCTCGTCAAAGCCTTAACGGGAGTGTGACGGGGTTATGACAGGACCGTTGCGCTTGCATCTATGAAGCATGCGTGGATCTCACAGACCCGTGACAAGGCCTTAACGGGAGTGTGACGGGGTTATGACGGGACCGTCGCGCTTGCATCTATGAAGCATGCGTGGGAGGTGGAGTTGACGGGACATTTACGGGCGACACTTCAAAGGATTGGAACTCTGCATAGATCGGGTGAGTGCATGCACAGAGTCCTGAGGCGAGCGCCAACTGGTATGCGCTAATTGGCTAAAAAAACAACATCAATGGCGCCAAATGACGAACACATGCTGTCCTGCTGACACCCGAAACCAGATATTTCAATGGCCGCTTACATCAGTGTAACGACAACTGCACCGCGCAATCATTACACACCGACTAAAGAGACAAAATCGCATTAATACATTACATGTGGACCAATCCTAATGACACGCATGGATTCATGGAAAACCATGCCTGGTGTGAGAACATAACTTCAAACAGAAATATCCCATCACTCTTTACTGAAGAAGTATAAACATATCGCGAAAGCGCGTGTGGAACTCCACGGGATTGAGAGATATCAGAAAGGGGGGAACGTGGTGCGAGGGTACTCCACAGGATTGAGGAAAAATCGAAAACGGACGCGTCGCGCAATTATTTCCAGGAAGTGGCTGTTGTACAGTTCGAGAGGTTCAGACAGGGCTATCTTGTTCTTCACTGTGATTGGCTGGCTATTCGTCACTCATGCGCAACTCACTTTCGCGACTAGCGACTTTGGCTATTTCGCGCCCGATTCCCGTGGTCAGTTTTCGCTATCAATAGTCATTTTGTAGGTTTTTACGAGTTTTTCGATCACAGGCGGTTTCTGCCCCAGGCGAGAAATACAACTGACTTCCCTGAATAATCATTACGCCACCCAGGAAACACGTTCAGAACAGTGCGAACAATCATTTCGCGCTGATATTTTCCCTCAACCGTGGAAGTACATTACTTGTTTGACGGGCGCGCAGATTTCCCGCCACTAACGCTTTCTGTGTGGCCCGTAACAAGCACACGGATGGCCCGTATAACAGCTCAAACGGCTCATATCGCATATTTTTGCGCGCATTCAGTTTTTACAGTTCACGGGCCACCGTAGAGGTCTGACGACTATCCCGTGAAGCAGTTCAGTAGGACCACATCGCAGCGATTCGATCGCACTGAATTTCCCGCGTTTGAATTCACATTCGCGCGAAAATAACGAGGCCATCATGGTTGTTCAGTCATCTACTCACGGTTGTGTCCATTTCGTATTCACTGCACTGGCCGATTTGGTGGCCCTTTCTAAGTACCAAGCTCAGCCATAAGGTGCTCCACGCACGTTTTTCTCCTCAATAGCTGCCATGTCGGAACCTAGGGAACGCGCGGAGCGGTTAGCGAATAACATTCTAGAGGCAATGAGAAACGTTCCCCCCGTAGCCCGTGGCCGACCAAAAGCTCCTAAGGATAATGCCCCATTGAGGCAAGGAGGTATCTACTCCTCGAGGGATAAGGCCCTCAAGGCTGTGCAGGCCCACGCGTTGCATCATCGTTTTGGATTCGTGACTGTGGAGGTGGCGGACGCGCACGTTATTCTCCAATGCAAAACCGCCATGTATGGACAAAAGCCAATATGCCCCTGGGAGTGTAGTTACAGTAGGATTGTTCATGGCGGCTTCTGGATGGTGACATCCCTCTCCCCTCCTGAATCACACGTCTGCAAGAAGTACAAGCGAGAGCAAGGAGCAAACGCCATCACCAACAGCATGAAGGTCATGAAGCGGCTTTGGGGCAACCTTGTTCGTGGCGCACCGTTTATTTCGGCGAAGATTTTGCAGCAGATTCTCACGTCCCACAGCAAGTTCCAGATCAGTTACAAGCAGGCATGGCGGCTGCGTGAAGAAATCCAGAAGGAGATGTACGGGGTTTGGCAAGAGTCGTTCAGGTTCCTCCCCGCGTTGGCTGATAGGTTCCGGGAGATAGACCCGGATGGAAACTTCTTGATTCAGATGGTCGACGGCTGTTTCAACCGCATGTACATACAGCCGTCCGCTTCTCGCGGTGCGCTTGGTTTTTGCCGCCCCGTTGTTGCATTGGACGGAACGTTCCTCATCAGAGCACAGCGCGCAACCCTTCTGATTGCCGTGGTACTGGACGGCAACCAGAAGATTACAATGCTGGCGTGGGCTTTGGTTGAAGGAGAGAACAAGGATTCGTGGAGTTGGTTTCTGCAGAACTTTTTGAAGAGCTTCCCGGAGTGGCCGCACCGTGACGACGCATCCATCATCAGCGACCGCGACAAGGATTTGCTTCCGGCTGCACGAGATGTTCTCCCGCTTGGCATACCCCATTACTTCTGTGCATGGCATCTTCACCAGAATTTTGTCAAGTTTGGAGAAGCAGCTGCTCTGTTCTATTGGCGTCTTGTGAAGTGCAGGCTTGACGATAAATGGGACGCTTTGGTGGTGGCCTGTCGGCGTGACTTTGCACCAATGGCTAATTATCTCCTTGGCATTGTGAAGCCGATCTCGGACACCTCACCTGCAGATGCAAGTGAGCAGCAACGTCCAGCTCCCACAACAGCAGCTGAGGCACGTCAACAAGCAGCCGAGAATCGTCCCCAGGGTCGTGATGCAGCACGTGCCGCCATGGGTAGTGGCACTACTTCACGTGCGCATGGGCGTTGTGCGGAAGATGCCAGCGCGGCGGGAGCCACACCGACCGAACCAGAGCCACCGTCTGAAAGCACTGCTGACCCTATGGCTCAGCCGGCCGAGTCCCCTGCCACAAACTCGCCGCCAGCTCGTCCGTCTGGATCGACGCCTGCATCTGCACAACCTTTCGATTATGCACGCATCCTGAGACGTGTAAGGACAGGTTACATCCCCAGCTCCATCCGTACGGACCTGCCACGTGCAACTGGATCGAACGGAAACCCGGCTGAGGATGCAGAGGAACCCAACGGGGGAAGCATCTGCCAGGCATTGGTCTTGGTCTCTTTGGATCACCTGTGGCCAGATGTCGGCAGTGCCAACCCCGGGGTTAACACAGCGGCCGATGCTGAAGAGGACGATGAGGAGGATGCATCTGCAGAGGAGGCAGATGCAGAAGATGCGGAAGCACCTGCCACAGCAGAGGGGGTGCAGGCAGAGGCTGGCGTGGACGACGATGACAACACTCCAGACTCCGGTGTCGCGGATGGGGACCACACCACACACGTGCGGACCGGGTTTAGGCAGAACAAGCGTGGTACAAGGAAGAAGTTGGGCATCAACCTTGTCCACTGGACTCGCCTTAAGGCCCCTACTCGACGCTTCGGGATCTTCACCAGCAACGCATCTGAGCAGGTCAACAGCTCCATCGTGCCCATTCGGCGCTTGCCGATGACCCCGATGCTAGGGGGTCTCATGGACTGGTATCGCAATAGGTATTGTGAACGTAAGATGGCGGCGCTTGAGCGAACTGATCTCCTGACAGAGGCAGCCGAGGAGCGGATGGTGGAGAAGGAGACACGGGCGGAGGGGTACGAGCTGTTGGGCGGGGACCATGTAGAAGGAACCATCCAGACCATGGACACCGATGATCCCAAAGAATGGAGGTCCTTCAACGTCAACTTGGCGGCGAAGACATGTGACTGCACAAACTGGGACCAATACCAGTTTCCGTGCTCCCATGATGTGGCCTTTGCTGTGAAGCGGAAGCTAGACCCCCGCACTCTCGTCTCTGATTTCTACACCACGAAGAATTGGGCAGAGACGTACTCTTCAACGGTGCGGGGGTCCTGTGTGGACCGCATCATCCTTGAGAAGAGGCTGGCCCCCCCAGGCGTGTGCGATGCTCCGCCCTTTCGCCGCACCGCTACCGGCCGCCCGCCGAGCTACGCTCGCGTAGAGAAGGCCGTGCATCCATACAAGTGCAGCGTTTGCAAGATGCACGGTCACAACAAGAACCGTTGCATGGGGAAGTACGTGTCAGATTGTGTTATTTGTCTAGCTTGCAGTGGGGTACTCAATAGTGAGTACAGCCCAATTTAGGGTTTGCTATATGTACTCAACTGCCTGCTAGTGAAAACCCTCTTTCTTGTTTCTAACTTTCAACTACTATTCTCACATGCTATCAGAGCAGGTCGACCCCCTCGGGTCGATCCTGTGGATGGGCCCACCGTTAAGCTTCCGCTACTGTCCTGCCTATCGCGCGCCTCGGGCGCGCTTCGTTTACTGTCTGCCTGCCGCGCGCCAGAGGCGCGCGGCGTTTATTTTTCTTCCTGCCGCGTGCTCGGGGCGCGCGGCGGTTTTCTACCGTCGCCCGTCGCGGCGCCCTTGGGGGCCGCGCGTCGCCCCCCCCGTCGCCCGTCGCGGCGCCCTGGGGGGCCACGCGTCGCCCCCCCCCGGCGCCCGTCGCGGC